TGCCAAGCGGCCTTATGTGCTGTTTTTAGTGCAGAGTGCACTATTGGGATGGATTGGGGGTTGATGTCCACTATGGCTATAAGGCAATAAGGCCGTAAGGTCATAAGGTGTAAACTTTAATGTTTGTTTAATTAATTAATACATGTATCAATTAATTAATTAGTTTTCAGGCAAGAAAGTGGTTGGGGAGGGTACGTGCTTGTGTTCACCACGTAAAAACATGTATGACCTACCTTACTTTAATCATAATATCACAAAGCTGTGTATTTGGTTTAGGAAACCTCTTGTCCTCCTTGTGGTACTATTCTCTTTAGAACAAAGCCAATTTTCCCTAAACGCTTGTGCAGATTAGTTAGTGTTCGTGCCGACTATATATTAGGTGAAAGATGCATTTCATTTGAGATCACACGATGCAAAAATGTCGAGTGCTTTTCGTTGCGGTAGAACCCAACATGTAAGACACATGCGTTCTAGCATTGTTAGCATATTATTGCGTTCGACGAAGTGGAACACAAACCTAATTTTGACCTGTGGCTTTTCAGAGTTGGTTTCCCTGTGCACAGTTCTAGGCTGAAAACAGCACATTCCTGTAAGGACACCAAAATGGCCACCCCACTTGATTTTTGCAGGGGCATGTCACGGCCAGTAAACTGGTACTGTTTAATGCTAAGGCTTATTTATTTCTCTTTCGATCATCTCTATGAAAGAGACCAAAAAGTTCATATCTAGCCTAACTTTCCCAATTCAGTGGCATTAAAACTTTTCAAATTGTAAATTTGTGACAAAAGAAACCAGGAAACTGTTCGAATATTGCTGCAGATTCCGTGGCACATAATGAAAACGTAAATTGATTTAATCAGTCTTTGAGGGGACTCATTCACCAATGTAGGATATATAATCTCGGTCAACTGAGTAGCGCAGACCTTCAGTACTTCTTGTTGAAATACTAACGCTTCTCAAATCAATATCACTGAGGTGTCAACCATATAAGAACGTGGTATTCTGTGACTATTTGATAATTAAATTACTTCTTGTTTATCAGTGAAAAGAAACTTTGGGTTTTGAATAAAACAAAAATAATCGTTCTTCTTCCATTTCCTCAATAGCTATTTAACGTTGTTCCATTTCCTCATAAGATATTTACTTTCT